AAATTATACATCATATAAATTTTGCATAGGACAGTGATAGCTAACCTTTTTGCCATCGCGTGCCAAAAGCGGGGAAGCGCGGGGGTCACACGTGCATGCACAAGGGGCAGGGCATATATAATTATGGGTGTAGGCATGCGCGCACGACTCCCCCCATACTCCCCCTGCTTTTGGCATGCCATGGCAAAAAGGTTAGCCATCACTGCCCTAGAGCCATGATGGTGAACCTATGGCACGCATGCTGGAAGTGGCATGCAGAGCCATCTCTCTGGACATGTGGAGCCATTGTCCGTTGCTCTTCCGGGTTCCGGAGAGCTGGTTTTCACGTGCATAGGCGCACCAGAAACTGGAAGAGCAGTTGCCCAATGTGCATGTGCGTTCCAGGAAGATGATCTTCCTGTTTCCAGTGTGCACATGCGTGTCAGACGTTTGGTTTTCTGATTTCTAGCACACATGTACGTGCGAAGACCAGAAGTGGCAAGAGCAACGGGGGCGCGTGTCAAAAGATGCAGAGCAGGGAGCTTAAAGCTGTCGGCCAGGACAGGCGGGGTGGGACTTCCCTCCCTCCCCACCCAAGTGGGCTACTTGCATGGCCCCAGGCAGTCCGGAGCACCTGGCCAGCCCCAGAAGAGCCGGTGGGCCCCCGCAGCTTCTGCGAGAGGATAGGCAGCGGGAGCCTCTTCAACACGTGAAGCTGTGTGGCAGCAGTAACCACAGGGGCAGGCGGGATGGCTAAAGCACCCTCTGCCTGAGAGCAAGTGCCTGGCAAGGGAAGGAAAGAGAAAGAACGGAAAACACTCAGGTTGTGTGTTTCTTCAGTTCTCCCTTCCCAGCCTTGCCACCTTTCCCTCCTCCTCTTCCTTCATCTGTGCTGCACTTTCCCACAAATAGCGACTCACCTCACAGAGTTTCTCCCAAAGACACAAGGAAATGCGAGATGGGAGGCTCCTGTGCATCAGGCCAGGGCCAAAGCTTGTCAAGAAATCCAAGCCATGCGCTGTTGAAGTACACACACATCTTTTGAAGCTGCTGCTGTCCATCCGGATGCGAGATCTGCGGCTCCGTCTCTCTACTGCTAGACTCTCCGGTCTCCCGTTATTGGGACCTTAAGAGTGCTGTGAAGAGTGCAGCCTGCCCCAACATAATACACTCCTCAACTAATATGATACACAGTCTTACATGCAATTGGTCCTTTGAGGGCAACCATAATGCTGATGTGGCCATCAATGAAATTGAGTTTGACACCCCAATCTATAGCTATTCTAATAAAAGTAGTTTTAGTCTTATATCAAAACTGTTTCATGGTGTGGTCTACCTTGCAGGACCAACATCCATTTAGTTTTGTTTTAGACTCTGATGATGGTTTTATATTCTAATGATTTCTCATCTCTCAGTTGCTTCCTATATATAGTATATTTTCTCTCCAGGGTTAGTATAAATGTTGGAAGAAAGCAGCAGCAACCACGACAACCTTTAATGGAAAAGATGCTAAAACCTTTATTAGTATCAGGGGACCAACAGGAAGTAATGTAATTTGGGAAGAGTTTGAATCACAGTCCTGTGGAGGTGCTGCAAAGCACTCTTTGGTGAAGCATTTGTGAAAAAGGACATTTTAAAAATCTACATTACTATCCCTAGGAGGAAAACATCTGTACAAGGAAGCCTGTGCCAGTTACTAAGTGTGTGAGAATATAAACCACAGTGCAGAATAAGCATAAGACGGGGGAGGGGAGGGGGATGTATCTCTGAGGAAGGCAGACAATTTTGGAATCAGAAAGAGAAATTGGTCCTGTATTTTATGTCTTTTTTGTAATTTAATGAGATTAGAAGGGACTTCGATTGCTAACGGCGTTCTAGGTAGTATAAAGGGAGATTGCCATCTTTACAAACTCTTCTCTTTTTCCTATTCCATCTACAGCTTTTGTAAAAACAATCATTCAAATGTATACCAAACTATTTGAATAGACTGATTCTTATATAATGTTCCATATTTTTTCCCCTATTTTTAACCCATCTTCATTTAACTACCGTATGTTATCTGCAATTACAAGGATACATTCTGGGCTCTTTTCCTTGCAGATACTAACTCTCCATTTGAAAAGAGAAGAGATGTATGGGTTCTGGTAAGAAAGATTTTCCTCCAGAGAATATAAATGTTTCTTAGATTTACTTCCCACTTTCCTTCAGGAACTCAAGGTAGCATGCATAGTACTCTCTCCAATTTCCCTTCACAACCAATGCCAATTTGGGCTAAAGTGATTGACCAAAGTCTTCCAGAGAACTTCCTTGGCTAAGGGTAGACTTGAATTTAACACTGTCTTGTTAATAAAGGATGCACAGAATTTTTTTATTTTATGTTCTTATCCCACCATTATTTTTTTTATAAATAACTCAAGGCAGTGAATGTAAGTAATACTACTTCCTTCTCTTATTTTTTCCCCACAACAATCTTGTGAGGAGAATTGGTCAGAGAAAACAACTGGCCCAAAGTCACCAAGTCAGCTTTCATGCCTAAAGTGTCAGGGTTCCAAGTAATACATCCCATTCAATAAGAACTCTGAGGCAGGCAATTTCTCAAAGAACATTTTATTGGGACATATCAAATTGGCAAGTCCTTGGTGAAAAACCGGTTCTAGGTTCCCACTGGTTTTTCACCCAATTAAAAGTAAAACTTTGTCACTTCCTCCCCATAGTCTCCAGTCACATTGTCCAATCATCATACAGTCCAGCTGCTAGGTGACCTCAATCTCCACCTTTCGAACACCTGCCCCAACATCCTTGATTCCCACAGAAGGAATTTTGTTTTGGCTGCAATACTCCAGCTATCTCTACACCCCACTCCCTGGCTCCTTCACTCAAGGCTGTGTCAGCCCTGAAGCAATGAGAAAGGAACCACCCTAGAGAAAATCACAAAAAGGAAAATGGCCACGGTTTGGCTAACTTCAGGGTTGACATAAAGTGGGACTAGAACATTGGGTTTCCTAGTTTCTAGCCTGGTGCTTCAACCACTAGACCAGGCGTGTCCAACACGCAATCCTCATTGTCCTTCAGAAAACTAAAAATCTACTTTACCTGATATTTTTTACCGAATGCACCAAGTTTAATTTTGTAAAATTTATTTTTAATGAGATTTTAACTCTGTATATCATCTTAAGTTTCCTATTAGGCACCTTGATAAATCTAATAAATTATGATTATTATTAATATACATTAAGTATTTAAATTAAGCACACCCTCATGTTACCATGACTTGTGATTCTCTGCTGACTTTCTTACTGAGTTTACTCGGCAATCATGTGATTGCAAAACACTGTGAACATTGTAAAAACATGCCGGTTACCAAGTGACCAAATCGCAATCATGTGATCACAGGAATGCTGCAATGGTCATAGGTCCAAGCAAGGACTGGTTCTAAATCTACTTTTCAGAGTCACTGTAAGGTCAAATGGTCGCTGAACAAAGCAGTTGTTAACCAAGTAACCTGTATAGCTTTTATTTGTATGTTTTATTCTGTAAAATCTGTTTTAATTCAGCTTTATATGAAAATGTTACATTATTATTATAGCTCCATTTAACCTAACCACCCCAAATCAGAAAAAGTATTAAGATTTGCTTCATCTTAGTAACCTCAATAGAACCACAGGTAAAATGCAAACAGATAAGTAAATACAGGAAAAAAGAGATTACATACAAAGATTTTTCTCCTTGTAACATAGGGGAAAATCACCTGCTACCTTCAAGATATTCTGAACCAACTTCCTACCATCCTTAGCTATTTTTTTTTTTAATTTGATTTATATGCCGCCCTTCTCCGAAGACTCAGGGCGGCTTACAATGTGCTCAGCAATAGCCTTCATCCTTTTGTATATTTATACAAAGTCAGCTTATTGCCCCCACAAACTGGGTCCTCATTTCACCTACCTTAGAAAGGATGGAAGGCTGAGTCAACCTTGAGCCTTGGCGAGATTCGAACCCTGCAGTAATTGCAGGCATCTGGTCTTAATAAGCTTAATAACAGGGTGCCTTAAACCCCTGTACTACCAAGGCTCTTCTATTGTAGCTATTGTCTTCCTTGGTTACCATGATGGGAATTGGATGTTACTAAAATCTGTTAACATGAATACATATGGGTAAAGGAGCAGGAACATATTGAATAGTTCTATGCCATAGATATAGAAATAGCATAACTTGCAAAAGAAATACATCAATAAATGAAGAAACCAGAATGACTGGTTCTCGTTTATGCACATAGTACAGATCCTGACTCTTTTATAACTCATGGTAAACGTCCGGTATCCGCTTCTGTGCTACGTCAAGTAATCCTCAAGTTACAATCACAATTGGGTGGCAAGAGCCAAAGTTGGCAAGTGGGGGAACGTCTTGACCCCTTGATCCGAAACGACGACAGACAGGTACCCCTGAGCCAACCGTAAGCATTTTACTAAGGGACCGAAGTGCCAGAAGTCCCAAAACACCACCGGTGTTATCCAAGCAGTTATGTTCTTAGTATCACAATGCATTAGGAAGGAAACGTTTTTTTTTTCCAACTCAAGACGCTTTGCAAGATTGGGACAGAAATGCACGTGCTGGGCAGAAGGATTTAAAAAAGACCAGCGAGTGAAAGTAGCGACTAAAATGGGACACACACACACACACACACTCTTTTCCCTCCCCGATTCAAGGAACGGGAATCCACTTCTCCGGCCCGGCACATCGCAGAGCCGCGCGCCCTCCTCCACCACCTCCGCAGACTCACCTCCTCTTTCCTCCTGCCAGATCCGTCTCCCAGGCCAGGAGCAGAACCCGAACCACCCTCCGCCTGGGACTGGGTCGCCTGGAGAAGGGGCAGGCCGAGCGGCAAGCTGCCTCGCCTGACGCCTCCCGCGCAGCACCCGTTTCACCAACCGAGTCCCGACCTCCGCGCGTCCCCGGGCCGCTTCCGGAATCAGGCTCCGACCGAGGCAGCAAAGGCGCAGGGGGGCTTGCCGGGAAGCCCGGCAGCGTGTTTACAAGATGGCAGCGTCCAGGAGAACCGAAGTGCTGCGTCTCTATCGGGCCTTGCTGCGAGAAAGCCAGGCTTTCAACGCCTACGGCTATAGGTAGGAAGAAGGGAGGGGAAACAGGACAGAAATATAATGCTTAAATTCAACTTACTCTGTCTTTATTTTGGCGCTTAATGCCTTGTCCTGTAAAGTGTGTTTGGTTTTATAACGTCGTATAATAAAGGAGACGTTTATTAAATCGTGTTAGTCTGTGCTGCATCTTAGAAATATAGGCTAGCGATGTGTGAATACATGCATATAATTGTATAATGTCACAAGCCCCTTAAACATGGCAATTCTGAGAATATATGGGAAAGGAGACTTTAAAAGGTACTCAAATCGAATGCAGCACAATGTCTTTACTAGGGTTCCATATCTGATCTGGGACACTTCAGAGAACCAGAAGACTGTGACAAAAGTTTACTCTTTTCTGTCTCTCTTTGCTGTCATTTAATGGTCATTTGGAGTTTTGTCCTCCATATCTGGTAGCCTTACCCAAGAGATTTTTTTTTTCTGCTAGATGCATTGGCATTTTCATCAGTTTTTCATTTCAAATATTTTGAGCAGAGCATGTATGGTTAGAAATTAGAAAACTGTGTTTCTTTGGGACGCTGCTAGAGGAAGGTTCATATGATCATAAAATATCTTGACCACTCAAAGCCAGTTTCCCAGACAAGCCTTTTATTGTGTAATCAGTGTGCCTTATCGAATATTCCAGACAACTTTTAAATATGATTTGTTGAACAATCCATAGTAGTCGGGATTTATGTATAAAGTTAGACTTAACTGTAATTACAAAATCCAGTACAATGGCTGGGTTTCTGGGGAGGGAAAATGCTTCTCATGAAAAACATATACAAGAAAGAAAATAGAATTATGAATACAAAATTAATTGGCTTTAATTGTAACTTAAAAATTCACAATCTATAAGTTATATCTTGGCTTTTCTTATGGAGCTGAAGGTGATAATTACTTCCAATTTTTTTCAACAATAATTCTGTTGGATAGGCTGAACTGAGAGAGGATAACTGGCCTAAAATCATTTTTATCATGGCTGAGAGTGAATTTGAGTCAAGATCTCACTCCTGGTCAGGTATCTTAATTACCATGTTACATTTGCTTATAATGTGTAATAACAACAAATAAGAAATAAACCTTAATATGCAAATTCAAATACATTACAAGGTAAGCCAAATGTTTTCATTTAAAAGCCCCAGTGTTGAATATTCATTTGAGAAAGACACAGTTCTATTCTCACTAAATCTTGTGCCGATATATCATTTTTCCTTCTCTGATTTTTCTGTTTAAGACAGAGTCCCAATAAATTTATACTTTTGGAGAAACCCAAACTATTGAAAAACATTGCAATTTTATTTTAACCGATTTGTTTTACTGCTTTGAATGATAAATATTATTTCAAATATTGAAAGTACTTTGGATGAAATCTCCATTATGAATATAACTGGGAGTAGCCCACCCTTTTAAAAGTTTCTTATCACGCAGATGTGAGTAGATAAATAGGTAGATAATGTCTGTTATCTTGTCAGAAGATAACAGCATTCCATTCCATTCCTTGGTGTATAGTCATGCTGGCCACATGACTACAGACAATGTCTTCAGACTGGCTCCCTCTGCTAAAAAAATGAAGATGAGCACCCCCTTAGAATCAGATACAACTGGAGAGGAGAAACTTTTACCTTTTTATCACAAAACTAATAATGTCAAATCAATAGCAGCTGAATTTTATATACAGAGTTATAGCAGAAAGAAGACAAAACATTTTAGACACCTATTAAAAATGCCATCAAAATAATGACTGACTCTTCAAGAAGCCACTAAAAATCAATATTATCAACATCACGTGGAGTGGGGTGGGAATCACTCTTAAGAGTGTATAAGGTAGCTGTTTATGCACAATAGCAGAAAATAATTTATATTTGTTTTAAAATGTGTCTGTGTCTGGTTTATATTTTATAGAAGTCTTTTCCTTAATTTTGTTTTCTGTTTGAAAATATACCAAAATTCCGAACAATTTGATACAAATACGTTATTAAGTTTCTACAGTTTACAGAGGCAAACCGAGCTTCTATAAAATAAGAAAATCAGGACTAGCTCATGGATAACCTAATCAGAATTGGTATTTCAATCAGAGGCATACATAACATTTTATTTCCATTGTGGCTACAGAGCTGTGGTAGGACTCTTCTGTGCTGGAGTTTGTGAGATTTAATGGAAACATGTGTTATTTGGGTGTAGCAGTAATTTTGCTCCCTTTAGGTTTTCAATTGCTTTTGTTTTCATTTGTTGACTTTGGTACCTAGATACAGCAGGTGGTAGGAAAGTATGTTTCAAAATGGAAACTAGAATAGTTAAAGTGCAGATCGAAGATAAGAACAGGAGCTGTAGTTGTTTCTAAGGGCTTCTTAAAATGATAAAGGACAGCTGGAAAATGATTTTTTGATACTGCACTTAATTCCCCAAAGGTTGATATAGTGATAGTCCTTTGTAAGTGTAGCACTGCACCCAGGTGACTTTCCAAAGCCAGTCTGTAAAGACTCGTTTTCCCATAAGTATCATACATGCCAAGAGGCCATTAGAAAAGATGTGAGATCTTTGGTCCCACCTGTGTATCAGCTCAGTCTTCCCTCTCTTTTCAATGCCTGTGTCCTCCTTGTGAAGGAAATGTAAGTTAAGAATTCTGCTTGTAGCCTGTGATAGTTAGCAGCTTTCCCAGAAACAGATGCCCTCCAGATGTATTGAACTTGAACTCCAGTACTTGCAAAATAACTGGAAATTATATAATTCCAATTCACATTACATTGACACATTCAACTTAAAATCAGAGATACTACCCTGTTTCCCCTAATAAGACATCCCCTGATAATAAGCCCTCCCCGAAAATATTTAAATGCATGCGCAGCCGGTCCTTGCCATTTCCTCTGGTTAGGGTTAGGGAGACAGAGCTGGAAATCAGGTAAGACGGCAAGAGGAGCTCCATCTTGCTCCACACGCCCCAAAGTAATAAGACACCCTCGAAAATAAGGCCAAGCACTTATTTCGGGGTTCAAAAAAATATAAGCCAGGATCTTATTTTTGGGAAAACACGGGAATACATTCAAAATCCCTTTTATAAGGTGTGTTATAAGACCTTTTAAAAGCCAATAATTTAGCTCAGCAAGCTGAAAATTAATTAGGAATTATGGCATTTGAATTCCAATATATCTAGATGTATGAAGCTAGAGTAAATCTTTTATTTTTAGTCTATAAAGTTGAACCTGTTTCACAGCTTTATCTTCAGATGAAATCAGTTGCTTGCCCTCAAATCTCCTGGATAAGACTTCGTGGTGTAGAGTTTTTGTTTTTGTTTTAATAAAGGCTATAAATAATATATAATAAATATTTTCTTTAATCCCATATTGATTTTTGTTTGGTTTAATGGTTAGGAATGGTTTATATGCATATATATTTAATAAGTGGCTCTTGCATTTGTCTTATATTGTTAAGGTAGACATCTTAGTCATCAGTACAATATTGGGGAAATTAATCCAATCAAATCCTGCAGCTTACACAATTTAAACTATTTTCTTCTGTCATTAGTATGAACTGTAGCTCGAGCTATTTATCTTAATTTTTTTTTCAGCATACATTGAATAATGGCTGTTACAATGCAAAACTAAGCATGTTCATTCAGATATATAGTTTCAAGTTTTAATGGAATTTGGGATTCTAGTTTTGCACTGCATTCTTTAAGAAGTAAGAAAATTATTGACTGAATTTGGAGATCTTAATAATGAGTACAGTCTGATAGGTAGTTGTATGCACTCTTGGATAAATTTTGGATGCAACTAGAGCATTTCTAACTATTGTACCAGAGAGGGGATCACTTTGATTTACTAAGGATCTCTAGAAAATAAAGAAACAGCAATACCTGGAATGTTGGAGAAATATAAGCAGGAAGATCCAGCTGTGGACTATTAAGGGTTATTTGCACATCTCAATATTAATATTCAAATTCTGCTGCAAGAGCAGGGTCTACTGAGGTGACCAAATTGATGTCTGGAATTGCTATCTGGGATTTGTTTTCACTTGCCAACTTGGAGGAAATATTTAAAGTGTTTTGGGATATGAACATCATCACTTGTGGGCTCGACACATGTCCCACTTGCCCCACTTCAGGGAGTCAGCGAAGGTGGGAATGGTTGAATCTGGGAGGTAATTAGCATTCCATTTGGTAGTAGTAATCTGTCAGATGCTTTAAATGAGATTATAATGCACCCTTTCCTGAGGTAGTCTTCCCAGGATTTAATTTCCACCCAATCTCCAGTCCAATTGCAAATGAAGTAGATTTTTAGGATCCCTTTCAACTAGAAATTAGGCATGGGAATGAGACTACTAAATTGTCCTTTGCATGGGGATTCCTTTAAAGACTACTCAGAAACTCTATTTTTGTAAATTGCAATGGCCTCTATTCTGTCCACTGAGAGCCATTACAACTATATATAGCATCAGTTTTACGAGAGCTGCATTGACTTCAAGTAAATTTCCAGTTATAATTCAAAATACCAACTTTAGCTTTCATAGCTCCGGATGACATGATTTCCAGTTATCTCAAAGACCGCTTTCAAATATGTATTCATCTTGTGTTCATCTCAATATTCATCTTGTGTTCATCTCAATATTCATTTATATACAGTCTGTATATCAAGCTTTGAGAAGACAGTGTAAGCTTACATTTTTTCTTAAAAATTTACTTAGGACATATGCCATCAGAAAAATAAGAGATGCCTTTAGAGAAAACAAAAACATCAAGGAATCATCAGAAATAGATACACTAATCAACAAAGCAAAAACTAATCTGGAAATGATACACCGGCAGGTAAGCTATCAGTTAATTAAACTCCATACTTGGTATAGTATTCCTTATCTTCAAGTATATAATTTTAGTCTCTTTCAATCTCTCATGAATGTAGATTAAATATATACTTTATCAATTAACATTAGCATATACATGCTTCTGATTAGAAGATACAAAAGATAAAATAGAAATTTATATTGTTGGCACTTTAAAAACAGCTTATGAGAAAAGGAAAATGGAAACCATTGCACACATAAATATACGGTACCTTAAGGAGCCCATAAGCCTAACCAATCACTCCCATTGTAGCTGGTACTCCAAAATGTTGATAGAAATCTTTTCTCAACTTTATTAACTCTGCTTCTTTAACTTACTGAAGATACTGAAGTAAGGATTTAAGTGCAAAAAGATATTTTCTATCACTGCACTCTGATCAATAGAAAGAATTGTTTCTATATCTATCTTGTATACTGTATTCTAGCTGCTGTAGTATTATTTAAATTTCTTGATAAAAAAATTAGAATCCCACAGAATTACCAAATTAGTTATTTGGAAATAATCCTTACTGAATTTTATGATGCCTCTCTCTGAATTAGGAAGGCACAGATTGAAGTTTTTGTATATTGAGTTGTATCCACTATAGGTCATTAATGACATTGTTTTACAATGCTAAATGTGGCCCTAGAAACCATCTACAAGTAGTCCTCGACTTACGACCACAATTGAGCCCAGAATTTATATTGCTAAGTGAGAAATTTGTTAAGTTGGTAAGTTTTGCTCCATTTTACGACATTTCTTTTACCACATTTGTTAAGTGAATCACTGTAGTTGTTAAATTAGTAACACGGTTGTTAAGTGAATCTGGCTTCCCCATGGACTTGCTTGTCAGAAGGTCCTAAAAGATGATCACATGACTCTGGGACTGGTCAGAAATATGAACCAATTGTCAAGCATCCAAATGTAAATCAAGTGACCCTGGAGATGTTGCAGCGCAACAGTCATAAGTTTGGAAAATGATCCTAAATCACTTTTTCCAGTGCCATTGTGACTTCAGACAGTCACTAAACGAACTGTTGTATGTTGAGTATATTCATTGATTATAATTGCTAAAGGTTGTGCCATCAGTGGGAGAAAACTGGAAATTAGGGCCTAAAATAAACCTACCACCATTTAAAAGCAAAAAAAATCTGCAAAGCTTCCAACCAAACCCAGTTCTGCTCCTAATCTGCCAAGATTTCTGAACCAAATAGGAAGGTATAAAGGATGTGCATGCATTCCACTTGTCTTTGTCAGTTATTTATTCAGTTTATATCTCATGTTTTCATTTGTTTTACGCTTGAAAGTGTCTTATAATAAAAACAGAAATAGATAAAAGGGAAAAGAAGACATTTAAAACAATAAATATTAAAATCTTGATTGTCATCTTTAATAGGAAACTCTCTATTTGATGCACTGTATGATCTTTTGAGTTTTACTCGGCAATTTGTTTTATAACGTAAAGAGCATACTAAAACAATGCATACTTTCTGTTAGTATGCATTCTGCTAGTGGCAATAAACTTAACTTGAGATCTTCTTCCGAGGATGAATTCCTAGGTAGCCAGAGTACCAGCTAGTCAGGAATAAAAAATTACAGCAAGGCCAAGAATAAACCAAGGGAAGAACTAATAAGCAGAAGGAACCAAAATAAGCCATTTACAACTCAGCCTGTTCACTGGCTGCAAAATGCTGACTGAAAATCAGCTAAAATAGAATCAATGTTGTAGAAGAACATGGCTAGTTGAATGGAATTCTAAATAGGGTCACTAATGACAGTAGTCATTAGTGATTAGTAGTAGTTTTATATTTGTAGACTTACATAGTTTCAATTTCTCAGGGAATCTCTTGTCATATCATCTGAAATATTCATCCCACTTTTTATTTCAGAAGAACATTAAAACAGCCACCAAAATTGATGAAATAAGTAAAAATATAACTACAAGTTTGAATTATTTGCATGCTAAAAATAATAGCAGCTAACATACTATATTGTAAGATTTGTCCTGTGTATTGATAATGCAATTGCATGAATATTTTGGATTGTATTTAAATTTACTTTGGTAAGTATACATCATTCAGTAATAAATAGGTGTTATGGCTACATGGGGAGTTTTAAATATAAAAATATTTTCAAAATGATATAATATTACATCCTATTATTTAAGGTTTGTAAATTAATGCCTAAATGTAAACATGGTTACTCAGCAGATTTCTTTGACAGTTTTACGCAAAATGTCTTCTTCATTTCTATAAAAATAAATTGCTTCATGATACCTACAGCAATATTAACACTACTGTATTTCATGCACATGATAAATGTTAAAGGCATTCACATTATTTTGAAATGTCATACTTTTTTATTCCCTATTTATGTGTGAATAATTTGGATAGTGAAGAATATTACAAGTAGCTAGGACTTTTAGAAATGTTTAAAGGTAAAATATTTATACAGTTTTTTAAACAATAGAGCTCGAACTGATCAACTATATGTTTTTGAAGTTTGAGGTTTATTAAAATGTAGCACACCACCTTTAGCTGACTTTCTGTTTCCATGACATGTCAATAAAAATTAAATAATATCCCAGCTGCCTAGTAATTTGTTGCTTCTGTGAAATCAAATTTATATTCTCTTTAAATGCTAATTTATGGTTTAGTCATCAAAATGACCGTTGGCATCTCAGGTTCATAAATAACTGCTGGAATCAGTCAGGGAGGAATTGTGGAAACATGACAGATTACTGTCATTTAGTTGTGTCATTCTTAGGGCTTGACAAAAATTTAAAAAATGAGCCCTCTAAGGTTAAAAAATCACAAAAGAGCCTGTATACTGTTTAAGTTTTGTAGGTTATTGATTTTGTTATGAAATGATAAAAAAGCAGAAAACTTTGTCAAACTTTCACAGTTGATGGAAAGCAGTTGTCAGTTTGTTGTATTTTCTCTAAATATGTGTTCAGAAGCAGTTAATAGAACACTTCATTCTATTCTATTCTGCAAGGATCCAATGGAGGAGCAAAAGGTCTGTGGGGACCTAGTGGGGGAAGGCCTGAGAGGACCCTATGGGGAAGTGAAAGGCCTGTGAGGATCCAGTGGTGGGGATGGGGGGAGATAGGTAAGGGTGCTATAGCAATTGGTCACAATTGGTGGCCATATCTTCAGGATTGGGTAATAAGTAGCTTTTGGAGGCTCCGCCATAACTTCAAATGGCCATTAAGTGGCCAGTTGTTAAGAGATGAGTACCTGTATTAAAACTTTGAAAAACTACCAGGGTGGATAAAAACCAATGATTTTTTTTTAAAAAAATCAAAAAAATCAGATTTTTTTGATTTAAATCGGATTTTTTTGATTTTTATCAAATTTATTTTAATAAAAAACTTTTGGGGTATAAATCTATCGTAAGATAGTTTTCTATTTAAGATACATAAATAATTTAGTTTATTCAGCATGAAATGGAGCTTAGTTATGTAGCATGAGGCTGTATATTCTGCAACACTGGGACCATCGGTGAGTCAACAGTGGGTCAAAGGAGTAGCAGAGATGACAGTTGCTCTTTAAAAATTATGATTTAAATCGAGTTGATTTAAATCAAGCCTTTTTACTAGTGATTTAAATCATGATTTAAATTGTGATTTAAATCAACTCGATTTAAATCAAATCCACCCTGAAAACTACTAAAGTTACAACTGTTTTTCAATTCCATTTTCTGTAAAATGTTTTATATATCTGAATTCATATGGAAATCTAATGGTGCATTTATTTGTGTGTGAGAGTGAAAAGTCTTGTTTCTTATTCTGCAAATCATAATGAAGTGGTATAAATTGTATCCCAGGCCATATTGGATGTTTGGATATGTGAGGAGTAATACTTACAGTAGTAATCTGTTGCCATGCTTTTGGAGACAGCTGATCTTTTTTGTTGTCTAACAGTAAATTTGAAACTAGGATTTTAGTTATCTTAATCCATTTTTGTTACCTTCCCATTGGGACACTGGTGTAGCAATGCTCCATAAAGCTTTTATGCTTCTTTATTACAGACCTCAATTTCATTCTTCAGCTCCACTTTGTAAATAGCAACAGAGGCTAGGCAGTGCTCTTTGTTTAAGCCCTTCTGTGTTGAATAGCATATTGTAGATTGAAAACAAAGCACAGAAGAGCTAGCTGCTTATTAGTATTACTTTATATAAAGTGTTCCAGGATTTCACAGCTGATGGAAATGATCGATAGAATCTGGCATGAGATCTCATTGGCAAAAGTATACAGTACATATAGTTCCTATCTCAGATTGATGATCTGGCTCCTGACTTGTTTCACTGCCTTTTATATTTATAAATGAGATCTTTATTCAGCCTAAGCCAGCCCACTAGTTGCAGGTTACTTGGAGCAGGAGCCTTTATCAATGGTAATTCATACCCTTGTTACTTCTTACCTGGTCTTACAACATAAGGTGTACATGAGGTTGCCCTTGAAGTCTACTCAATAATTTCATCTTGTATGAAATGTAGTGGTCCGTATGTTGGTAGTTGGGAGGCATTTTAACCATCTAAATTTCTGTGGGTGCTGCATTGACCACTGGTTGTTTCCAGGTACAGTTCAAGCTCATGGTATATAGGGCCTCGGCATAATGAAGAAACTCTCTTCTCTAGAAGAAATTTCTCTGACCTGGTCAGTTGTTCTAAAAGGGTTCCTGATTCTCCCTTGTGAAGAGATCTGCAGAAGCAGATCTTTTTCATGATGATCCCACTACTAGAGCTCAGCCACCTGCCCTTTAGAAAGGAATGCCCTTTCATTCCGCTCCTGTCTTGTCAAAGCAGTCCAAGAGATGTCCTGTGAGTAGGGTCTAGCAATGATTAATTCTTCTTTGAGTGAGGGAGTTGTTCCTTTACTCTTAAAAAGGCCTTGGTTTACCCCCTTCTGAAAAAGCCATTGTGGACCCCACTATACTGAATAATTTTTGCCTATATCTGACTTTTCCTTTTTGGAGAAGGTG